TAATACCAGAGTCTGGCCATGAAGAGAATTCAATCTTACACCGTACACAAAAGGCTCTGCCCAACTTCCCCCACTAAAATAAACGCTGATGAATTTGTGTATGCTGTGCATGATCTCATACTGAAAGACAACAACTGACCAAACACAGTTATCCATTACAACCTGCTGCGTTTTATCCAATGCCTCGACAGCCAGACGATGATGCGTCAACTCGGAGCAGTCACGGTTAAGCAATTCGGCTCTTGGCAAAGCAGTTGTTCAACATTCACTCTACCCACTTGGGGCCTCTTTAGAGAGAGAAAAAAAACAAGCAGAGGACGGAACTTTCTCTCAATACCAAAGTGCGATTCACTGCACTCCACATGCTGCAAAAGAGCTTTGACGCTTTTAAACATATTTCCAGCTACTCCACTTTACAGTGGCAACGGGAGTAGAGGTACCCATCCTCCTGTAAGTCCAGAGTCAAGTTCTCACCTTCACAGTGGGATACTTTTTTCGCCAAGTAACTGCAATGGGTAAGCAACTGTTGGTCCCGCTGCGATTTCTGACTTGCGGAATCATGGTTTTAAACTAAAACGAAGCAATAAACTACCAGGTAAGGCCCACTGAGTGATATAGCTCATTTTCAGAAGCGACCTGGCCACAAATGATAGCTCAACGAAGTGGCTTATCATGTGGACATTTCTAGCAGCCATATACTCTTAAACGCATGTTTCTAAATGTGGAGGGAAAAACCAGAAGAACCGGAGAAATATCCACGTCACCACGGGGAGAGAGACACGCAAACTCCAAATATACGGGCGTCAGGGTCAAGATAGAACCCACGCCCTCCCTCCATACCTTGGCGAGGTAGTTAAAATTTCGCCACCATGGCGGCCACCGTGGTTGCCACGACTGCGCCTGGCATCGCAAGGCACTGGCCCCCTTAGCCGTGTTCCGTGGCATGCGAACAAATCCTGTCGGCACGGCGTCATAATGAACGGCACACGTAAAACTTTTCACCGTAATGACGGGAACAAACCTGAAGAAGCGGCACAGGGCAACGGTTTTACACACACCCGGGGGGTCACGAGATGTCTCGACTGAAGGTTAGGGGAAACACAAGAGTTCGGGCTCGACTTTTTGCGTTCAGAAATGAACGACAAACCATGCACTCGTTTTTTTTTCTGTCAAAATGACGATTTGCCATTTGGCGGCGGGACCAGCAAATCAGCGCAAAGGTCTCCAAGCAGCTGTTACCGCAGGTATCATGAATGGCGTGGCGGCATTAATAAAGAGCGCAAATGTTTTACTGCCAACTTTTGCAAAGGTTTCGACCACAAACTTGTCCTGAGTTACACAAAAACATTTCACACTTTGCAACAGCGCCGGGGGGGGGGGGGCGGGGGGGGGGGGTTTATTTGGCAAACGAGTTAGACGCAACAACGTTAAAAGCCGCGGGAACCTTTTATAATGTGGATCTGGCAATAATCACAATGGAAGCCTAAAAACAAAAAGACGCCATTAAAACTCAAAATCGTCCCCCCCCCCAGCGCGCCTGTGAGGATCTGTGGGAAGAAGTGAATCTGAGCGGTGGGCTTTGAGGCTATTCAGATAACTCGGATCAACAAAGGGTTCCGCATTGAAGGACTTTGAGGCTAATGTATCCGTGTGGCAGGAGGGACAATGGTAACATGTAACAGGCCGCAAGGGAGAGGGGGTTGTCGCTGGCAGCAATTGCTGTGCTCTCATTAAGCGTTTGCTCACAACATGGCAACGTACGCAAGGGCACGTTCGGTGTTGCTACGGAGCATGTCCGAAAGCGTTCGTTTTGAACAGCGAACCAGAATAATCAAAGTGTCCCGTCAAACATTTACGTACCTTATAATAAATGCAATCACGTACATCCAACGAAAATTGTGAATGGTTTACGAATTTACGTGGTAGTTTTTTTCTTTTGAAGCGTGGAGTGAAGCAACGATGGTCTTTTCCTGTTCCTATTCAGCATTATTATTCGTAGTTATGTCCAACTAAAATGCATAATTCAATTGAGAGGGCTTGCCTATCGAATACGACACGCTTGGCATTCGGAGTGGTTCGGAAGAGGTGTCAACTATGACTCCACCTGGATTTGTGATGTGTGCCATACGCACACTCGGGTATACGACACTGAATGGAATGCGTTCCTGATATGTGATGCCCATCCATCAATGTCATAGTTACCTGAGCATTCTCTGAATGTCATTGAAGCGTTCGGCAGATCGACGCGGTACTGCACAACGACATTTGTACAAATCACAACAATTTTTGGTTTTATTGCACCTCAGTTGTGGCTGGGTTTAATCAACACGGGCGCCGAAACGATCGAACGATCAAAGTTTGCCAATCAGCAGACACAGATGTGTGGCAATTGATATGCACATCAGCTGATGCCCAGTATGCAGTGATAATCACGGGAGTTGCGGGACCACTGGCAATGAGATGAATGTGCGTACATTACTCTGCGGCGCTGTGCAACGCCGGAGATAAAATGCCTGTGCAGGCATTTCTCAACCGCCCCCTCTGCAATTCACTCACGCTGCACAAAGGACCCTTGCTTCAGAGACACACCGGGCCCCCGCTGTTGCACTGTGCGGAATAATTCATCGCCAGATTTGTCTGCATGTGGGATTTAACGGTGATTTGCATTGACTTGCAAATCTCACTAATAATTATGCATAAAAGACAACGATGCGGCGTGCAGCCTTAACAGACTTTTGCGGCAAGTGCTGTCAGCGAGCCCCTACAAAGGCCGGCACGGTGCACAAGGGGGTGCTCGGCCAGCACTATGCCCGGCAGCCTTTGTCTTCCTAATGGCGATGTTTATGCAATTCACCAGGTACTTATTTGAGGCTGAGTCAACCTAGGGGAACCCCAGGACTGGTTCAAATAATAGTCACTGATCTTGGCCATGCGTGGGAATCGAACTCGGGTTGCTGGGTTCGCATCGCAGCATGCTAACAGCTACGCCACCGCTCCGGACAACACACACACACACGTGCATCCAACACGCGGTACCTGGGTGCCAATGACATATTGGCACTGTAAATTTGAAAAAGCAAGGTGATCAATCAAACAGTCACCAAAATGAGGCAGTCTTTCTAAACAACAATTTGTTATTTACACCACGTGCCACATAAATCATGGCAGCCTTCCCTCCACACGGAGCAAGACAGACAGCGTGCATTAAACAAAACGTAATGTATACAATGCAAGCGTTTCATTGACAGGTTATTGATTTATCGATTTATCTATCTCCCCCAAAATGTGTGGTTTCGCCAAAAAATGTACTCCAATGCACAGACAAAGACTGGCCGTAGGACCTTAATCACGTTTAATTATGCAACGCTATGCAAACCCAACACGACTTCCAAAATGACACGGCTGTAAATAAAATAGATTAAAATGTGTGGTCAAGGAAAAGGTGCCAATGCATGCCCTTGTGCGATATACACATACAACATACACACGTACGTGCGACATACATACACACGTACGTGCGACGTACACATATACATACACGTACGTAGGACGTTCACACGTACGTGTGACATACACACGTACGTGCAGCATACATACACACATATGTGCGACACACACACACGCACGGATGAGCGACATACAGATACACACACACACATGTGCGAGACACACCCCTATGTGCGGCATACACACATATACACGTACGTGCGGCATACACACATATACACAAGTACGGAACAGCCTCCGCATCTTCACCAAGGCCGTTGTTTTGTCACACACACGTGAAAATACTTTTAATCCAACGCTGGGTGACGGCGCGGCCCATGTCATGCGGGTTGGGGGTTATTTGAGCATACTTCACCATGCTAACCGATGCATATTTGGTGATGGGGAGCATAGATGTTGGAGCATAGCACAGCACGAACATTGATTTTGCCGCATGGCCCTCTGCTGGCAACGCATGCCCGCAGCGGCCTGCAGCACCTGTTTTACACACGGTGGCTCTCCATCCATGCGCTAACCAAGCTCATTCACACTTGGCTATTGGGATCTGACAAGATCACAGGCATTCTGTGTGATGTGGTCCACAGGCATGGACATCGTTTAAGAGTTCCTCTCAAATCGAAGGTTCCCTATGAACGACGAATGACAAAGTCGGCGGTTTTTTTGTTTTGGTACGTACATGGGCCGCTGGGTCATCTGGCTGCAGCTTTGATCCTTGCACCTGAAGCACCCGAATGTGGCTCTGTGCAGCACGGCTGTCGGTAACGCAGTCCGCCGGCCAAATGAACCATTCAGCCAAAATCTGCGTTCCCATGGGAACGCTGAGAAGATAAATTGGTCTTTAATGCTCCCATGGGGATTGGTTGCTTTTGCTAAGCGGTTTAGTAAAAGAGAGAAGATAGTAAACGACACACAAAGACGCTCCGTATAGCCCGAACAGACTGTTGGGGCAGGCGCTGTTAAGAGGGCACCTATGAAGGCTGGCGTGGCACACGAGGGGGCGGGTGGCCAGCACCACGCCCGGCTGCCTTTGTCTCCCCAGTGGCGATGTTTACACACACCGCACCAGGTACTCATTTGAGGCTGAGTCGAGATAAGGGAGGCCCAGGACGGGTTCAAATAATCGTCACTGGTGTTGGCTGTGAGTGGGAATCGAGCTCGGGTCCCTGGGTTCGTAGCGCAGCGCCGCTAACTGCAACGCCACCGCTCCGGACAAAACATACACACGCATGCGCGCGCGCGCACACAGTAGATACATTCTAGACCCAATGTCCACATCGCCAAATGTTACTTTTTGTCTGATCTTTGCCAAAAAGACACGCCACCGTTTCCATTGCCGACAATGAAGCTAAGCGCCACGGTGATGCGTTGCCGCTGTTTCAAGAAGGCTTGAAACCGAGCCACTATTTAACTGTGCCTGTGATTCTGTACGGGTGATATACAGTGCCTGGTAAATAAATTATTTGATTAGCCGATGTGCATTTTCAGAAACGTACCGAAATCAGCAAACGCCGACTGCCCGATGACTTTTAAGTCCGCTGGAGGAGGCAGACTCTGGCCGTATGTGAAATTTCCATTCTGCAAACACACAAGCCAGAGCAGGGAATCCATTACCACGGAGTGCATGGGTGTGTGTGTGTGTGTGCTGAACCAAACATTAACGTGCAAGGGCAGATTGGGAGCGCTGCCTGAGCACGTGCATTCAAAAGTTCGCCAAAATGCACACCTGCGGTAATTCCTTTGGGCGACTGAAGCAGGCAAGATGATCTTCCTGAGAGTCCATTTAAGCTTTAAATGAAAGGGCAAGAGCGTCAATGAGGAGCCTCCTCCCTTCAATTCATGGCGAGTATATTGATGTATTGGCGGTACACCGGTGCAGCACAACACAAACAGTAGTAACATCTAAATTCGAATAAGAAAATCTGTTTATCGGTCTTTAATTGACTCTGTCGCCATGTTTGACGCGATTCGAAGGTTTATTCAGTATAATGAGACTTGCTAACAAAAGGCTGATATTGACCGTTGATTTGGGTCCGCTGCATCAAGGAACCATCTGAGTCAAATCCGCCTTTGGAACAAGCAGCCAGCCAATCGTCAACAGGGCTGGGTGCTGCTATACGGCAACAAGACTTAAATTTTGATTTAAAGCTTTCGTGACTGCAGGGATTCATATTCTTGGTTCTTTCGGTAAAGTCACGTAGAAGAGAAACAATAAAATAATAAAAATATAAAACAATACAATTCTCACGACGTTTCGACTGCAACACAAGCAATCATCATCATGTGTGAAATCCACATCAAGAACATTTGAAAAAAGTGGCGTTTTTTTCTTAACGTCAGCACCACGGACAGCGATTTGGCAGTTGTTAAGATGGATGAGTCCATCTATGTTCCGAACATAACAACTGCCAAATCACTGTCCGAGGTGCTGGCAACAAGACTGTTGAGCTTCGTGTTCAGCCGCTCATAACATTCCTCTTCCAACTGCTTGGACATTACGAGAACTGAATTTCATGCGCCCTGCAACCCTGTTCAGAAGATATTCTTGACCGGTGTTGCGAATCACAGAAAACAAAAAAATGCGTTGCTATTTATTTTAATACCGCGCACCGGTGTACCGCCAATACGTTCATATGCCAAGCACTTCAAAGATTGAGGTCGACCACTCCCCTGCCCACCCCCCTACCCGGTGTTTTTGCAATCAGTGCCTCATAAGAGAAGAGCGCTATGAGGAAGCAACGCACACCACTCTTGGACCGTTGGCAAACTGGGCGAGTGCTAAAATGGCCTCTCACCTGTGCCCGCGATGACAGCCTCACTTTGTGACGGCACATGGAAGGAAATGTGCGGCGCCGTGTGATGTCACGCCAAGCAACGATAAGATGGTTAAGAAGGGGGATAGCGTAAAACTCCACGAAGAATTCTAGATTTGAAGCTTTCGTGACTGCAAGGATTCATTCTCTTCGGTTTTTTTGGTAAAGTCACGTAGGTAAAACAATAAAATAAATAAAAACGAAATTATATCACGACGTTTCGGAGGCAACACAAGCCTCCCTCATCAGGTGTAAAAAGGCACAGCAAGATAACTGTGCCTTTTTACACCTGATGGGGGAGGCTTGTGTTGCCTCCGAAACGTCGTGATTTAATTTAGTTGTTTTCATCTATTTTATTTTATTGCTCCACGAAGAATCCCATTCATTTGCTCGCTGGTGTTATCACGGCCGGTGACAACAGATTTCATCGGGATAATGAAGGGGCGGATCAAATACATTTCATACATTTAATACTGTGCATCTGAAAAACCAAATATAACATGAATATACAACACCGCTCCCCTGGTCATGGTCTTCATAAACCTCACGCCTAGATATCTCCACGCATGCTGGGGACTCGAGCCGAGACTGCCCGTTTATTCCGATCTGTGCTCAACCACCGTTATTACGGTGCGGAGTTCTCATTTCTTGCTTCTTTCCAGCCGTGTCGTTCATCCAAAGAACTGTGGACTAAATTAAAGGAACGGGGTCAACTTTGTACGCGTTCTGCTTTGCGTCGCGGGGCCCTTTTGGGGCAAGTGTGAGAAGAAGAAGAAAAAAAATACTCCAGCACGATAAAATAATTATAACATTCCAGTCTGTTGAGATGGAGTGCCGAGACAAGAATGCTTAGCACTTAATTGCACGGGAGTGCTTGGCTAACATTTCGTGTTGTTTGTGTTCAATGCAGAGGGGCTCTTACCACGTTGTACCACATGTCATACTTGACTTGATGGCCATCTTGGTTGGTGAGAAACAAATCTGTCACGAACAGAAATACATTTACACAATTAGCCACCCCCCACCCAAACGTGTAGAGTCGTGCAAATGCTGTTTGAAAACAAGATGGCCACACAGGGCAACTGAGGACAATTCATCAAAATGTTTTCATAATTCTCAACATTATTTACGATTCATAATGCAGGTTTTTTTGTGTGAGATCGCGTACATATATAAATGTGTCGTTAAACCCGCCACTGCCCGACACAGCCAATTAGTAAGGTTTGTCACGAACACAACATGCCAATTCGTTACTAGTACAGCACACCGGTGTGTTGGAGAGCAAAGCCACAACATTCGCTCTCCAACACACCGATGTAGCTGTACTAGTAACGCGTTGCCGTGTTCTGTTTACGTGACAAACCTTACTAATTGACTGTGTCGGGTGGTGGTGGGTTTAACGACACATTTATATATTTACGCGATCTAACCCAAAAAAACTTGTATTAAGGATGATATTGGCCGCGAAATCCTACGTGTTAAAACATTATTTACGATTACAATATTTCGAGTGGAAGTATTTGTGGATGAAGGAAGTTTTTAATTATTAAGATATATACAGTAAAACCTTGGATTGCGAGCATAATTCGTTCCGGAAATGTGTTGGTAATCCAAAGCACTCTTGTATCAGTTGTGATCACGTGACGCTCGGCAGACAAAGCGAATACACGTACTACTCGTATTGCAAGACCTCGCTCGTTTATCAAATAAATATTGATTAAAAATTTTGCTCGTCTTGCAAGACACTCGCGGACCAAGTTACTCGCAATCCAAGGTTTTACTATAGAGGCATTGAAAAATGTGACCGAGCGAGGGACATCTATCCGTGTTACTGTGAAAAATATAAAAAAAATCGGTCTCTTTGAATTTTCCATGATGAAGACAACTGTAAAAGCAGTACAGTTGATTGTTTGCAGGCTCGTAATTTACAAATCAATGGCCAAATGTGGAAAGGTTTCCAGAAGGATGCACGAGATTTTTCTTTCTTAACCATTACCCAGGGACGAAATAGCTTAACTGAACTGTGGAAATCATTCTTAGCCAAAATGTTTCATTAGAATGCAATACTTTGCACAACGCAGGTCACAGTGGAATTGAAATCCTGGAATAGAACGAAATCTATATCATTCTAAAGGAGAAACTCGAAGCAATAACACAATTTTACTTAACAAAAAATGTAACTCGCAAAGACACCTTTCGTAGTAAGCATCAATGATCAACACTTGAGCTGCAACACCTTTCACCACCACATCGGTTAATATTTAACGATCTTGCTGCGTCTCCAATTAAAGCACACTGATGCTTCAAACGGAGGCATCTTGTAATTGGAGCTGCAGACCTCAGTCACAGTCGCTAAGCAGCTGTAATTGCTGGCAGTGAGGCTGCAAGTGCACATTTAAGTAATTACACAAAACGCATAAAATGAATAAACATTCGTCCCTCGATGGGTGAAAGGCAAAAATTGCGGTGCTCATCCCTGACAACAAGCAAGGCAAGACCGCGCGGTCAGGCACAGTGCTTCAAAAACAGGCCCAACGTGCGCGCCCGCGAAAAACTCAGATCAGCTGATGCTGGTCTGCTCATCGGTCCAAATACGAGACTACGATGATATTGTTGTTGTTGTTCTATGAGAGACGAAGCCTTCTACAGCCAGACTCCGCAATTGTGGAATCCCCTTCCTCGGTACATTTATGGATTCTGAGTACGCGTCACTTTTTGAAATCATGTCTTAAAAACTCACCTATTTGTACAGCAGGCTTTCCCAGTAACTTAAGATTTTAAAAAAATCCTGTTGTCTGATTGGATTACTCTGATTCGCTTTTATCATAGTTCTTCATATTATTGGAATTTCGAGAGTGGTAATTGAAACTGTTAGCGTTTTTCTATTTTGCTTAGATTGTATCTATATTTGTGAGTGAAGTTAAAATTAACATACAGCGTTGAAATACTTTAATATGGAAGAGGTTGAATAACATCGTTATTATCTGGGTGCCACGCGTAAACACTCCCGGCACCTCCGATCGGCGCAGTACGGTTGGGAAATAAGTTCGGCACACGATCGTACGTACACACGTGTGGCCAAGCTGGGATCACGGCACCCTGAGTCACCAGACCGACTCTTACAAGAACATCGGCTCTGGGCTCTCGGGGCCACGCCACTGGCTTGCCCTGGTCGGTCCTTAGAAGAACGGCGATCCAGGGGAGTCCCAGGGCCTACGTAGCCGGTCTTCGTTCTTCACTGGTTTAAGCTAAACACTGAACCCCAAGCCCACCGGCTCACCGCCTTATATAGCAACTCCTCCCCCGAGGGGTGGGGCCGTGAGGGATCACAGCGCCGTTTCAGCCCATCAGGCTAAACGGTGCGGACGTGGATGTAAGCATCCTTCCGTGTGCGGGCATAACCACCCCTGGTGTGTTTGTTCGTCCTCCCGTAACACCTCTACACACGCACAGAGACAACTCTCACAGGCACAGACGTGCCCCGGCGGTTTTCCTGCGAGCCCTCGCAGACGTGACCCTATGCGAGCACGATCACCGTCCTGAGTGAAGTGCACGTCGACGAATCGACGCGGTTGCGGGCCCGTGCGGGAGTTGAAACAGATTGTATTATGTTGGGGGGGGGGGGGGGTGGAAAGGAAGCTAAATGGGCGATGAAGAGACGAACAAAGGCAGGCACGGCAGTGCAGTTTTGCTTTTAAATTAAAACGTTTCACAATCACTTCGTGCAGAGCATCTCTAAATGATTAAATACAACCAACTAGCCACAAGCCAATCAATCCGGGTCAAAAACAAGCCAACTCAAGCAAAGGCAGCACGTTCTAAGTTTGATTGAAAATACGCAATTGTGCCAGCAGTTCTGACGAGACTTAACATATACTTACACCAGCCCACAGGGGATTATTGTGTCAGTCCGTCGTGCAGGGAGGGGCTGGGTGGGGAGGGGAGCGTGGGGAGGGGCTGGGTGGGGAGGGTGGGGCTGGGTGGGGAGGGGCTGGGTGGGGAGGGTAGAGAGGGGCTGGGTGGGGAGGGTAGGGAGGGGCTGGGTGTGGAGGGGCTGGATGGGGAGAGTGGGGCTGGGAGGGGTGGGGCTGGGTGGGGAGGGGCTGGTCACCCCGTGGTGCCCTTATAAAACGCAACGTTTAACCTACTCACGCCGGCTTGTGCCCGCCCTCACAGTCGGGCATATTTGCGGAATACACCACGCCGCCGTTGACCCTGGCCATTGACCGAGCAACCCAACGTTCCTACCAGCTCCCTCCGCAGGAATGTGTTTGTTCCAGAGGAAGGCAGCACGACATCTGGGGGCCCTTGCCCATCCTGATTTTAGACAACTTGCCTTCACTAACAAAGCTTCGGCAAACAATTGTTTCAAGGTGCGACTCGGGAGCGCAATGTTTGAGCGTTTCCTGTAAAATATAAAGGCCCACGGTCACAGAGGGCTTCGTGAATAGTATCGATGTAGAATTTAACAGGGAGCCAGAGCAGCGTTTTAAGAACTGGAGTAATATCTAGTGAACTGTGCGTGCCGAGTCGGCACTCTGGCTACGAAAATGAGCGTTACTGTTGTATAAGAGAGAAGTAAAAAAGCACAAACTAACATCTCGGCATATTTATCAGATGGAATGGATCCGAATTTGTCAAAAATGAACGATTCAAATGGTAATATAGGCCTCTGTGGGTATCCAAACACGATTGTGGCTGCAGTCATTCCCACGTTTTCATAGTATTGGAGTAAACACGTGACTATAAAAAAAGGATTTAAATCTTGGGGGGATTTAGCTAAAGTGTATTTGGAGCAGACAAATATCACCTCTGTTTTATTGGAATTTATTCTGAGATAAATCATAGCCACCCATGACTGCATTTCACTCAGGAACTGAGATAGCAGGGAGCCTGTCATCTCCGGATTGGTATGAAAGTAACAATACAAGGAGGGCATCATCTGCATAACAGCGAAAATCCCAAGTTTATATTAGTTAATCCTTGATCCGAGGGGGACACGTAGACACGAAACAGCTTGGGGCCAAGGGCTGAATCTTGTGGAATACTCCACGAACTCACGACCGACGGAGACAAATTGACATCGATGCGCTGAAAATGAAAACCAACGAACGGGGAACATTTTGCATGTTTTACACGGCCCCAATTTGGGTCAGCTACTCAAATTCACTGCAGTGGGGCACGGGAAGACCGTCAGTTTTATGTATCGGTGCGTTCAAACAGTGACGGTCGTGCACGTGATCGATAATGCTCGCGTGTGAAGGGAGGCACACTCCCCGAGGGTCCCCACGGTAAACTTCTCCTAAGCACTATCGATTGCGGAACGTGTGTACGTTCAACTTTGTCCGCGCCGTACGTAGCCAACCGTGCTAACCGGAGGTGCGGGACAACGCCTTCTTGTGGGAGTGCAACGTCAACACAACGTCGTATTTATCCATTTCCGAAAAGTTGCACTCATTCGAGGTTTGAAGTTTTCGTGACTGCAGGGATCCATACTCTTTGCTTCTTTCGGTAAAGTCACGTGGGTATATAAAATTAAATAAATTTAATCACGACGTTTCGGGCGCAACACAAGCGTCCGTCATCAGGTGGGACAACCGCAGCAAGAAACAATTGCTGAAGTGGGCAAAAGGGCTGCTGCAACAAGAGGCTAAATAGGTAAGAGGGGGGGGGGAGGAGCCAGGGAGGAGAGCTAGAGAGGGGGAGTGTGGGGTAGGGAGAGTGGAGTCAGGGTTGCGATTTCCGCATGGAAAATGCGGAAGGAGGGTTCAAATTTTCCCGCATTTTTGCTAAAGTCAACCGCAAACGGTGGAAAGACTACTCCTATGACCGCGCGCTTTTAACAACACGGTAATGCGTTCTATTGGAAAGGATACATGCAAGGCCCAGCATCACGTAGGGCTTTGAGTTACTGATTGGAATGAATATATGATTTCCGCATTTCCGCACAAGAACCACATACTTTATTCAAAAGCGGAGCCGTGATTACGAGCACATGTACATGATGTATCCTTTCCAATAGAACGCATTAACATGTTGTTAAAAGCGCGCGGTCATAGGAGTAGTCTTTCCACCGTTTGCGGTTGACTTTAGCAAAAATGCGGGAAAATTTGAACCCTCCTTCCGCATTTTCCATGCGGAAATCGCAACCCTGAGTGGAGTGCTGCAAGCTAAGACACATACACGGAAAATGCCGAATCTCCAGTTTCTTCAGCCTCCTATCCCAGCCCCACTCACGTCCCTAAAAATGCCGGATTCGGGAGGGGAAGTGAGCGGGGCTGTGAGTGGGAGGCTGAATAAACTGGAGATTCGGCATTTTGCCGTGTATCTGTCTTAGCTTCAGCACTCCACTCCCCCTACCCCCCTCTCTCTTTCTCTCCTCCCTGACTCCTCCCCCGTCTCTTACCTATATAGCCTCTTGTTACAGCAGTCCTTTTGCCCACTTCAGCAATTGTTTTCTTGCTGTGGTTGTCCCACCTGATGACGGACGCTTGAGTTGCACTCATGTTTCTGAGAAAACGTTGAAGAGAACTGTCATGGTGGGACTTCAAAAAAAAAAGCCCAGGCTTTGGATAACGCCAATGTTGGTTACACTGCCAGGTGAAGGTAGAATATGCTTTCAAGGCCAGAACTATTAGTGTGGACTTTTTTTTTTCACTTGAGTTGTTCTTCAGGACTAGATCTCCTACTGGTGAGCTACTCTCCAGGAAACACCTATCAATAACTGCAACTTTAAAAACCCATTAACCAACAAGGATATCGATTTCGCACGTAACTGGACAGTTGTAATATCTGCGGCTTGAACTCGTAACTTCTCCCCTCTTTTGCACAAAACTAAACATAGTTGCACTCAAGCTCAAACTATAACTGGCTGTGAACCCGTCGGACAAGATGCTGCTGTGATGTAATGGTCTGCGCACACTTGAGCCGACTTCGCCGGTTTAATTTCCCGGCGTGGCAGTTGACACAATGGGAAGGTTTCCTAAGATCCCCTGGCCTCTGTCCAGCTAGCAGTATACTAGCTCCACCACACAGTTAGGTGATCGGCAGATCAGATTCGGTGGGGGTAGAGGATGCGTTATTCCCACCTCTTCAAAACACTTGGCCAGCGTGGAAGAGTCCACCAAAATACCCTCTCTCGAGAGGCTGTATAGAACTCCCTGGAGTGGAGGCCCATCTACAGCAGCAAGCAATTGCAGGGCTGCACCTCTATCGTTTTTTATCCATTGCAACCCTGCATGTTGAACGTCATCAGGCGTCACTGCTGGTGGGGAGGCCACAGAGCAGCGATGGTGGAATAATGACATTTTAATGACATTATTAGTCATATGGCAGACTCTGAAGCTTGCGCACTGCTAGTTTCCATGGGACTGACGGTGCTCTACATCTGTCACTAACATGCGCAGACAAGTTAGCTGGGGAAATGATTCTTACATGTTGGCACAAGGCACTTCACTTTCCAAGGTGGACCGTTTATTAGCTCTGAGTAAGCTTTTTGAAAGATTCAAAAATGTTGAAATGAACAAATTATTAATGAGTGTGAAACGACAGACTTCAAGAAGTACAGGCCTTTGCGAGTTGTTCACATGTGAAACCAGATGGTGATGAAAACGCATGATTGATGGTGATGACAATGTATTAGGATGAACATGGATAACTGACAGGGCCAGGATATTTATAAACTCTGATGAATGATGAGGAACAATTATGATAATGAAGATAGATGACTGCAGAATGACGATGATAAATAAGGAATAAACGACAGCGGTGGTGGCGATGGTAAAGATCACGATGATGAAACACGGAGCGACTGGTGTATGTTACGTAACACTGCTGTGTTAATTGCCATATCGTGAGCATTATAAGACTGTCAAATGACGTGAACAATTATTCTCGAATGTACTAAAGCTGAGGAAAAACAAAGTGTGTCCATTGCGTTATCTCCGTTGACCCCGTGTTGTTGTTCGCAAGAGTATGTTCATTATGCGTCAGTCATGGCCAATACTGGTCCAAATAAAAAAAAATTCGCAATCAATTACAGAATTGCAAGAAATTAAATTGGGGTAAAGATAAAGTGTTGAGGAAGTCAAGAAATTTCGATTTAAAGCTTTCGTGACTGCAGGGATTCATCTTCACCTGAGGACGGCTGCTTGTGTTGTGGTCGAAACGTCGTGAGAATTATTTTATTATGTTTTATTTTTATTATTGTATTACTTCCCTTCTACGTGACTTTACCGAAAGAACCAAGAAGTCAAGAAATGTTAAAAGGACTTCCGTGCAAATCGAACGAGGAAAAAAATTGCACGTATTATTAAATGCAGACAGCTGCTGTTAGCGACCGAGCAAAGTGCTTCATCATCAAGCAGCCCAGCGGACGGCAGCGGCGCGGAGCTGTGCGGTAACCCCCCCCCTCCTTACGTCACTCCCGCACTGCCGCTTGGCATTCAAGTCGCTAGACTCGAGGTGGGAGCCGTTGATGGAAGCAAGAAGGGAACGGAGGAATAGTCACGAAAGATGTCACCCAAGAACAAGCAGTTATTTCATTCACGAGGGGAAAGGATCACAAATCACGGGTCACAGTTTTTTAGTTTTGGTACAAACATCGTGCCCAAGTGGGAGAGTCAACGTACGCAAAACCCTCAAGCCATTCGCTTTACAGATAATAATCGATGCTTATGATTATTACGCTATACTCTTGGGTCTTTTGGTAAAGTCACATAGGGAAATAAAATAAAAGAAAAATAATAAAAGATAAAAATAATGAAAATTAAATCACGACGTTTCGAATGCAACACAAGCAATCATCATCAGGTGTGAACACCGACAGCAAGAAATTTTATACTAAAGTGGGAGAGATGCCACAAGACAGAGATTGCGGATGTGTCATGATTACGGACAATATTAAATCGACAGCGATGATAAATGGAAGAAAAGGATTTTTAATTTCCTCAAATACGGTCACACTAATGAACAAAAAAAGAATCAAACTTTCACAGTGAACAGCCAAGTCACACTCAGCAATCCTGAAACTTTTAAATATTTACGAACAGACCACGATCGATACTTGGCCCTTGACAAACATAGAGACGTGGCTTCAAGGGAGCCTCAGGAATAAACCTCAGAGGGTTTCTTGGCATCACGTTGCGAGGATCGGCAATCACTTTTATTTGCGTACCTGCAGTGAAGTCTCGGTTTAGGTCCAAGAAGGCGTGAGAGTGTGGACTGGCAAAGCGCCCGCTGCTTTGGAGGGCATCCACGCAGTTCACCAATCTGGACGCGCACAACACGACAACAGCAAGAGGAAGCATTTGCGGGAGTTGATGAAAAAGAAATTCCAACCAAAACTAACTTTCAATTGGGACACCCCGCAGTCTGTTGCATTAGGCTAACTCCAAGCGTGTTCGAGTGGAAGTTGTGATGCATAACAAAGCAGTTGGCGCGCTGCTGCGCTACAAACCAGATGAACCTATTCCGATTCTTGTTCATGGCCAACACCAAAGACGATTCTCTAAACCGATCCTGGGTCTCCCATAGGTTGACTTGGCCTAAAATGTTGCCTGGTGCGATGTGTACGCGTCGCCACCGGGGAAACAAAGGCCTTTCAGGCATGGTGCTGGCCATACACCGCCTCGTGTGCTGTGCCGGCCTTCATAGGTGCTCACTCCGGCACTTGCCTCAAAAGTTTGTTTCCACTGTAGGTGTCTTTGCTGAGGAGCAGTGTGGCAAGCGGTTTGTGCACTGCGCTGCAACATTCGCGGCCGAGCGATATCTCAACGGGTCCAAAGTGAACTCGGTCTTAAATGAATACTGATGCAGCGCGTAAACAACAGTATGGGTGTTTTGCCATTGCACTGGCCACAACACCCATAGCATGACTTTATAAAGGCAGTGGTTCACTCACTGTGCTATAATCCCAGTCACCTCGGTTTGCTTCGTGACCACTACCATGCATATTATTTGACAAATGATATCTGAACATGGACTGGGCCCTCCCCTGTGAACTCAACCAAAATTAAACAAAAAACTGGGAGTCGTGTTGAAACATCATGACCACGTTGCTGGCTACACCCACTCCTTTTCCATATCTATAACATGTAAATGAACATTGCCAGTAGCGCATAATTGAAGATTATAACCACTCCTAATTCACAATCAATAGACAGTATCAGAATCGCGTACCATGCACGTATCATGGACAACTTTTCCTTGAATTTAGATTTAAAGCTTTCGTGACTGCAGAGATTCATCTTCTTGGTTCTTTCGGTAAAGTCACGTAGAAGGAAAATAATAAAATAATAAAAATAAAACATGATAAAATAATTCTCACGACGTTTCGGCCACAACGCAAGCAGCCGTCTTCAGGTGGAGAACAGGTCTGTCGAGAAGACAGAGTTATTATGCTTTATTTTTATTATTTTATTATTTTCCTTCTACGTGACTTTTCCGAAAGAACCAAGAAGAACTTTCCCTTGCTTCATGCGGCTTGGGTTTGTGCGATTTCGAGCATATGCAGCTCACCTATATCAACACAACATTTGCTACGCTGCGCCACTTGAATTCGCACAGAAGCGCGCTACGCGGACCCAAGTGGGACAAGTAATTGTGTACCGTGCACGCTACTCGGCAGGGCAGTCGTCTCCTCGTGTGGTTACGCGCTTTGTGCGCACCCCCCGACCCCCCCCTTTTTTTGAACAAATCTAACCGCACAAAGCGATGGGAGCTTGCAAGGGAAAGTAGACTCCATTGTGCAAGGTACACAAATGCATGTTTATTTCAATGGAAAAAAAGGTGTTTCTCCGTGCTGCAATAGTACATTATTATGATTATAAACTCAGGGTACCACGTGAATGCATCCTGTTATCTGAACTGACATTTATTTTTTTGTAACTGCAGTGTGACAATACGGTCGCAATTATAGGAAAAGTTGCACTCCCATTGTGCTCAGTCCATTTGTTCTAACCACAGAGAATGCCTTGTGTCTAGCTGAAGTTAAATGATACTAATATTTATACCAAATTATACATATTACCATCACAATATGAATGCTTTGGCAATAAAAAAAAAATACTCTTTAAAAAGGTGATTTTTTTCATCTACTTGAGTCATATCTTTTTGTTAAAAAGCTCTTGTTTCTACACTTGGTAATTTCCCCCAATTTTATTCCGATTGCCCAATGGCTGTCGTCTCACGAGAGAAGAATTACGATAATAATCATCATCATAATTGATTTTTGTCCAGCGCCGTATTTCAGAAGCCATGTCACAAGACCGAGGCACGCCAGACTCACAGCAATGTGCCAGACGATGGCCAGGAAGAAGAGAAAAGGATTTCCACAGAATGCTTATACAAGTGGTCTTTTTTTATCCATTGATAAGCGCTATGCAAGATTATCGCCTGGCACGTGGCAGTTATTATTTGTTCGTTCTCAATCAATTTGTTCTGGTGAGGGTCGCGTTGGCAGTGATTGTTTGAGCTGCAATTTAGCAAATTCAGGGGCAATATCAACTTTAAATTTTGGGGCGTTTATTTCTTCGTAGTTATTTCTGACTGGGTTGAGACAATCAACTTGCGGCACTTGAGAAGCAAGTCTAATCATGCTGGATGGCAATCGACTTGAACCCAGCATCTCAGAGGCACCGGTTGGAGCTACCCCAAGCACCTGGTTTTATACAAACTGTTTTAACATGGGTACTTTAAAGTCCGGTCTTAAAACAAATTTTCTCACGTCGGTTTATTCTATTTCTATTTAACTTATTCTCTCTTGGACCTTTCATTATCCTTGTTCTAGCAAGGCGCCTTGAAGCATTCATGGAAGGCGTCTTACAAATAAATCTAAATTATTAATTGACCTCTATATGCATGGAAAAAACATATTTGGATAGTACAGAACAAAAACATATTTATATAAATCAGATTGGCCCCAATGTTTTAATAACAGTTTAGTAGAACTATACTGTACTTAAATGCGAGTGCTTTTGAGTCGGTGGTTATAACTTCTGATGGGCAAGGCACAGCCCCAAGCGGATTTGATCTCGTAACTCAAGAATATATGTCCATCTATCTCCTGAGTGGGCTCACCTGAGCCTACCATAACAAAAATGGTCCTAACAAAATGAATAACTATTGCCATTTCAATTTCAAAAGGTTATCATTCTTGGCCAACGTGGATGAAACAAACATTTCACAAACACTTTCTTCCTTCTGCTAGACCCTGCAGAATGGAGGTGGGCAGGTTACCAAGACAGGCATTGGAGTTGGTGACCAAGGGGAAGGGGCCTACACTCTATAAAGTACACTCTGGAAATTCTGGGTCCAATTTGTAACACATACGGAGGGTTGAAATGTGATACTATTCTGTATTGGCATGTGTATACGGTAAAGGTGCAGCCCTGCAATCGATCGTTTGTGCCGACGCTGGAATTGGCGTGTGTGTGGAGTTAAAATGTGGCCCTTGCGAGTGTCGATAACGTGAGTGCTCTATTTTGCGTCTTGAGGTGCACGCCGGCTGTGCAGTACAAATAACGTCCCATATTTCTACTGCCAGTTCTTCATCACAACGCAGGGCGATGTCAAAGAAGCTCCTTTTATCTTAACCTTGTTAGACGCACCTAGTTGGAGTGACACAATTACTGGCGAAACATCGTACTCCGTTTGTAAATGTTGAGGCTTGCTTCTTAAACACACCGGTGTGCTGTACTAGTGACGAATTGGCACGTTCTGTTTACGTGACAACCCTTACTAGTTGGCTGTGTCGAGTGGTGGCGGGTTTAATGACACATTTATATATTTATGCGATCTAACCCAAAAAAACCTGTATTATGGATGATATTGGTAACGAAAGCTTCCGTGTTAAACTCGCTTGTCATCTTTTTTTTTCCATTTTATTTGTCAGTGTCCATTTTTGTGATCCACACATCATAGCAGGTTATAAGCACTCAAATTAATTGTATTCGTTACATGGACCGCTCCTGTTTTAGACAGTTGCACGGCTATTTTACAACAGAGATCCGTGGTGCATCAGTACAGCAACAACAAAACAAACCAATTAATATTGCACGGAACGAGGACAGGGTCCTTAAGGAATATTGCACAATGCTTCAAATGTTCCCCTGGAGGCACTATGGTATTTTGCTTTTAATAACCAATATCAGAATTCTAAAGCACTCCATCCTACTGTCGCTTGCCTCTTTATTTTATACCTGGTCCGCCTTCAAAATATATTCTTTAAAAATCTACAGAAATAATGTATGCTAAACGGGCATAATATGACTTTGAAACCCCCCGGCCACCTCCTACGCATTCCACAAGTAGTGACTAATCCCATATCTGCATTTCTCATAAATATGCTAAATTCCTCTTGATATGCAAATTCCTTTGTCAAGGCGCTCTTCCCCCTCCAACCCAGCTTAAATATACGCTGCCAAGACTGGTGGTGTTTCATTCAGACGCTGTCTTTCCGACAGACCTGTTCTTCACCTGAGGACGGCTGCTTGCGTTGTGGCCGAAACGTCGTGAGAATTATTTTATTATGTTTTATTTTTATTATTTTATTATTTCCCTTCTACATGACTTTACCCAAAGAACCAAGAAGATCTTATTATTTTACCAAGTAAGGCACCACTGAGCTGTATAGCTCTTTTTCAGAAGCGACCTGGCCACAAAGAATAGCTCAACAAAGTGGCTTATCGTATGCAAATGTATAGCAGGCAAATACTCTAAACGCGTCTTTCTAAATGTGGAGAGAAAAACCAGAGGATCCGGAGAAAAAATTAACGTGACCACAAGGAGAACATGCCAACTCTAAATACAGAGCAGGCGTCAGAGCTGGGCTCAAACCCATGACCTCCTGTATACTAGTCGATGTAGTCAACATCTCGCCACTATGACTCTCGTGCACGTGTGACAGGAGGCTAATTGGTCAGTAATTCTTGAAATCAGTTCCACCTGTGTTTTTCAAAATAGGAATCATTTTAGACACAATTCCACGTGCGAGGCGTTTGATGGACAGAGTGTCCTGATGATAGCCACGTGTCTCACGATACTGAATATCATACTACGAACTGTTTTGCCCGTCCAAGGACGGGTATATATTGCAGTAAATCTGAAAAATTCAACAGAAAAATTGTTCAGCTCATGATTATTAATGAGGGGGGGGGGGGTGTTGCCCCATGTGGAGTGACGTCACCCGCCAATGGATGGTCATTGGGGAGAAGTGTGGTATGTGGAGTAACGTCACTCCCTCACGGTTAAGTGTGGAGGGGTGTGGCATG